GAAATAATAAAGTATATATTGTTTACTAAATAAACGGGGCGTGTACTCAAATATCGGTACCTACGAAAATAACACCTAAAATAATAATCATGATAATAATAATAATAATAATATATATATATATATATATATATATATATATATATATATATTGGCCTGACGATTGCATCTAGCATGAAACAGACTGTCGCCTCTAAGTGTTGACTTCAATATTAACTTTTATATTTTATATTTACACACGCTCTATCTCTGATATTGAGCACTTTATCCCATAAATATAGCACATCTTAAGACTATATTTCTTCATCTTATATATATATATATATATATATATATATATATATATATATATAACACATGAAATTGATAGTAGTGTCCAGTCACTGCCAATGTCCGAATCAGTATGTTTTATTTCTTTATATTTGTATCTATCAATTAATATCGGCCCATATTTCAGCCGATAGGTCTTTTATATTTGGTATTATAGTTTTATATTTTATAATTATAAATACACTTTTGGAATTTTAGATTATAATGGTCGTTTACATTTGGGATTAAAGGTAAATATATGTCATTTATACATCAACCTATAGGAAACCAGTGGCCTTTTATATTTGATTCATACTGTGGCTGTCTCCTTTTGCTGACAAACATACATTCAGTTTTCTTACACTTAATAGTCACTTTTTAGTCCTTTTTTTTTTGTTTTGTATTTTTGTGTTTTTTGGTGTTTTTTTTTTGTTTGTTTTTTTTTACTTCTTTGACTTAGAGGTCTTTCAGTTTTTGTTATAGCGTACATACGGACAATAATGGGTATGTCCCCATTCAAATAAATACAGTATTAAATACTGTATGTTGGTCTGTAATTGTAGATTCGTCTCCAGCTGTTTTGGTCAAACTCTCTCCTCCGGACAGAGAGGATCACCAGACCTCGTTTTATACAGGGTCTACGGGGAAATTTTGGCCGAGCCCCAGACAAGGCTGTGTCAAAGGACAAAGTCACTTCTCGGGAAACCACTACCCGACCCCGTTTTATACAGGTAAATTTTTGGCCGAGCTTCTGTGCTCGGTAACCCCACATTAAATTCAGCCTTGTGCCACATCTGACCGCGTGGGGCGGTTTCTAGATATCCTGCAGTTGGAGATTCATTGTGGAATTCACTTGACTCACTTCTAGCAGTTGATTATTTCTTCTACGCGCCGCTGGCAAATCTTATATGTGTTGTTCTTGTCGTAAGTATCATCGTTCATTACCAACCTTCGTTTGATTATTCTATTCAGTAACCTTCCCTAGGTTACAAGAGTTCTCTTACTGAGTCTGTCATCAGCAATGTATTTTTTTATTTTGTTACGATTATGGTGATTTTCTAAGCTTAGGTTTGATGTGGCGCAAGGCCGAAAATATGGGGTACCCAGTGAGGATCGAACTCACTACTCGGTCATAATTGTGCTATGGAGACAACCTTGCTAACCATTACACTACGTTGAGGTGTCCATTTTTGTTAGGTTTATGTCTGCTGATAATAAATACTGCTACACTAGTCGGTTGATTGATTTATTTGTTTTTAGTTTTTTTTCCCGACTTACCAAACTATTGTTGGTTATTTTAAACCAAAACAAATTTGGGGTTTTAAGAATAATTCTTTTATATTTTTCTGAGTGAATATTTAAATAACAGTTCTTGGAGATAATAATGATTTTCTGATACAAATTCTAGTATTTAAACCATCGTTGGTGGTAGAACAGGTGGATTCATACATCCAAAGAATTTTTGCGTGTAAGTGAATGAAACGAACCCGACCGGAATTCGAACATCGGACTTCTCATTTCGAACCGTTATCTGTTAAATCACTCGCACATCGAATTTATCAGCACCAGGTATTCCAAAACGTTTACCTATCAAGATAATATCCAAGCTTGACGTTGCTTAACTTCCGGTGATAGGAAAATAACGTGTTCCAACGTGATATGGCCGTAATTTCACTCACACACACACACACACACGCACACACACACACACACATACATATATATATATATATATAATATTAACAAATGAAATGGACTAAGTCAATTATTCTAATATAGTTTCTGTTTATACGTTATTTTTATAGATACAAATTATATATATATATATATATATATATATATATATATATATATATATATATATATATATATATATATTATTTTTTTATAGATACAAATTTTATAGATACAAATATTTAAGCAAACTCTGTTTATAATAAATAGTATCCTACATCGAACCTGTATCCTACACGGAACAGTCATATAGCCTGATGTCCTATACTATTTAGCTACAGCGGAAATGTCTCGTTACTGTTTACTTAAAATTAGTATTTTTAAACAACAAATTTCCCATGATTGTAAAAATAACGTATAAACACATATGATCGTTCGAGAGAAATCATGGGTACTTTGTTGTTTAAAAAGAGTAATTTGACTTTGCTAACCAGACTTTTCATCTGTAGTTAAATGGTATAGCACATCAGGGTATATGAAGGTTCTGTGTAGGATACAGGTTCGATTCCTGTCGGAGGATACATATTTTCTATGAAATTTCTCGGACATTCAGGTCGGTAAATGTAGTTAATACTGTTTATTATGAACAGAGCATTTACTTATACATTTGTAACTATCAAAAATGACGTATAAACAGAATATATATGTTATTGTGTATGTGTGTATACGCATGTGTTTGTGAACATAGAAATATAGGTCCTTGCTAGATTAGATAATCGTTATATTTATTTTTTATATGTTTTTATTTGATTTGTAACCTGTAATCGATATTAATTTTGTCAAATTTTCTTAATTACACAGCGGCCCTTTCAGTAAATGCCCTTCAGTTTTAGTTTCCCTCGCCCCATCTCTCTCCCCCACGCCTTTTTCTTTTCTTTTCTTCTGATCTTTAAAATTAGATCGTCTATTGTGTGTGTATATTATGACGAAATGTATCCTTTACGGTTACATCTTTAATGTATTAGACATCCGACAACGTTCATATTTCTCTCACTTAAACCGTCTTTGACTCGCCTCTCTAAAACTTCACACTGGTAAGGTTTAATCTCCCACCTTCTCTCGTCTGTTGCCCCTCTCTTTAGCTCTAACATTCGTCCCACACTCTCATACTTACACTCTCTCTAAATTCTATTTTTATTTTCGGAGTTGTTTTTTTCTGTTTTCTTTTTGAATTGTAGGTCTGTTGAATTGGATCGTATTTACGATTCCAATGGAATAAATTATGACCATGGAATATTAGTGTTTAAGCCTTTTTATTATATCCTTACTCTGTCCTGGACATTGAGTTCGACCTGGATTCTATCCTCTTGGAATTTTTTATTCAAAAAATATACATGTATGTGTATGCACCTATGTATATATATTTATATATTTTGCAAATGTATGTGTATATTTACCACTAGTATTAGCTCTCTCTCTCTCCCTATATATATATATATATATATATATATATATATATATATATATATATATATATATATATATATATATATATGTATGTATATATATATATTCATTTTTTTTGTTGTCGCTGTTTTTTTGTTTAATTATTTTATAAGCGCGAGTCACATATTTTGACATCGTCCTAGATCAGATATGTATAATCTTTGAAACGAGAAAGACCAACAGACATTTTTTGGTGTGTGTGTGTGTGGAAGAGGTGACTTATTTCGCCTTCCGTACTCTGTCGACACTTTTCCTCGGATACAAGCACTTCTGTTTGGTTAACTGATTTGTAAAGACAGACAAATCAATTGCAGCATTCACAACATTAATCAATATATTTTAATGATTTGGTGAATGGCAAAAAATGCCAAATACCAATTCTTTCTCCGAATTTTGATTTCTCTACGCCAACACATGATTCTCGCACTTATCTATATGTGTGAGTGTGTATGTTTATGCATGTATGTATGAATTCGTACTTATAAAATCATATGTAATATCCATGCATATATATTAGCAATTATATATATATATATATATATATATATATATATATATATATATATATATATATATATATATTGGCATAGACTTTTTTCCTTCGGTGCAATTCTTGTCTTATGATTGGGCAAAAATCAATCATCTGAAATTAATTTCCATAAAGTCGCATATGCACTTATGTCTGCAATATACGTACACAACCACGAGCATACACAAATACGCACGCACACATGCTTACATACCTACCTACCTATGTATATATATATATATATGTGTGTGTGTGTGTGTGTGTGTGTGTAATCATTCAATTTCAAGTTATTGACACATACTTATCCATATATTGATTTTTCGTTACATCTGTATTAATTTTTCTACTTTTATAGATGGTTTTTTTTTTGGCAAAATTTCTATCTTCCCCTAATTTTTTGCATACTTTATGGCTTTTTTCGCTCTATGAACGGGAAATCGTTATTTACTATTATTTTCACATTTTAATGAAATACTAACCATATTTTGTTGCAGATTGATATATATGTGTGTGTGTGTGCGTATGTCTGTGTGGTTATTTAAAAAAAAAAGAAAAACAGTCTAATTATTATTTCCATGATTCATAAGTTAGTCTTCATAATTTTTCCTTCTTCTTATTTCTACTTCTCATTTCATTGAGATATTTTATCAGTTCTCAACTATTGATGGAGAAAATCAATTGTTAAAAATATTTTTTCCATTTTATGAGATTTACTTTGCTTTTTCGCATAATTTAACGCCTATTTGTTGCATGGATTTTCCTCATTTCAATTTTCTCTTAGTTATATTTTGCTTTTTATGGAAGTCATGTTTGTCATCCATTCTTTTCTCTCGTTTCTCTCTGTCCTTCTTTCATTGTCTAGATTCGCTCTCAATTTGTAATGCGCTTATATTTGCATGAATTTCAGCGCGCAGACACACACGGGCACTTACTCCGATGTGCGGATGCCTACAAAATTGGCTCGTATTTTGTCACTACTCTTTTAGAAAATAGATAGGTCGATAATGAAAAGAGATAGATAGATAGATAGATAGATAGATAGATAGATAGATAGATAGATAGATAGAAAGATAGATAGATAGAAATTTAAAGAATAGATAGGTAGAAATATAAAGAATAAATAGATAGAAATATAAAGAATGGATAGAAATTTAAAGAATAGATGAATGAAATATAAAGAACAGATAGATAGAAATGTAAAGAATAGATAGGTAGATAGATAGAAACTTAAAGAATAGATAGATAGAAACTTAAAGAATAGATAGATAGATAGAAACTTAAAGAATAGATAGATAGAAACTTAAGAATAGATAGATAGATAGAAACTTAAAGGATAGATAGAAGCTTAAAGATTACATAGATAGATAGATAGATAGATAGAAACTGTAAGAATAGATAGATAGAAACTTAAAGAATAGATAGATAGATAGATAGATAGAAACTTAAAGAATACATAGATAGTTAGATAGATAGATAGATAGATAGAAACTTAAAGAATAGATAGATAGATAGATAGATAGAAACTTAAAGAATACATAGATAGATAGAAATGTAAAGAATAGATAGGTAGATAGATAGAAACTTAAAGAATAGATAGATAGATAGAAACTTAAAGAATACATACATAGATAGATAGATAGAAATGTAAAGAATAGATAGGTAGATAGATAGAAACTTAAAGAATACATAGATAGATAGAAATATAAAGAATAGATAGGTAAATATACAGAAACTTAAAGAATAGATAGATAGAAACTTAAAGAATAGATAGATAGATAGAAACTTAAAGAATACATAGATAGATAGAAATGTAAAGAATAGATAGATAGATAGATAGCACTCAGTAATGGTACCAACATTCGTACACTGGCTTCTATCTTCAAAGGCTATTCAAGAACAATCAAGAGAAGGGAGAATAATTTTTAAAAAGAGGAAACAGTAGAGAGGAAACCTGGATCAGGAGATCATAACAGGAAGAGGGATCATCGTTTCAACTTAAAAGCTATAGAGATCAATTAAAATATCCAACTTAATCCATAAGACGTTTGGCACATGTGAAAGGAGTTTTACTTATAACAGTAGAAAGAGCAGTGAAAAAAGACTTGAAAATGAAATCGTACGTGATACGTGAGACAACCTTTTACTCCAGGTCAGAAAGTTAGAAGGTTAAAGAGGGCGAAGATCATCTTGAATAAGTTCAAAAATGATCCTGAAATAATATATATATCTTTGAACTTTATTTCAATCCTTCATGAGCTTCTGCTCTTTAGCTATGATTAATTATTGATGAACATGTCATTTTAGTTTACGATCGATTTCATCACGATTCTTCTGTTAAGCTTAGAGAGTAATTATTCATTCTTATTGTTCCAATTGTTATAAAAATGATAAGAAGATAAAACCTACCCTCAATAAACATCAAATATGAACACAATCACAATGGTCTGAGCGTGTTTGGGAAATATAAAAAAAATATTCCAATAATTCTAGATACATACATAAATATCTACACATTCAGTTAGAATTAGAAATTTTCTAAAAAAATCTATGATAATGGCTAAAATTATAGCCGAAAGCGCTTGGACTTACAATACATTCGACAATTTTTAAAAACTTTATGTCCAGAAAAGAAAAAAAGTAATATGAACACAAGAAAAAATAAATAAAAACCTTAATGAAACCAATATAAAAGAGGGATTTCTGCTTAAATACACAATTAGGCATATATATATATATATATATATATATATATATATATATATATATATATATATATATATATATAGGATTTATTCTAGTATATATATATATATATATATATATGTATATATATATACTTAGGATATACTTAGGATTTATTCTATATATATATATATATATATATATATATATATATTAGGATTTATTCTAGTATATATATATATATATATATATATATATATATATATATATATATATATAGAATCCTAAGGAGCAAATTAACATACCTAGGTTTCACCTAAAAGGATTTATTTTAGTTTATCGCTCTGTTTAGCGTATTGAGCACTATACGTTTTAGTGTTTCTACTCGTTTGTTTTTTTTTTTTGTTCTTTGGACTAAAGACTTTAAGCACTTGGCCATTTGTTTCGCCTTGTTCTGATCTTTTTAGTTCTTTCTTTTTTTTTATTTCCAATTTTTTCCTCGGGTACCGATTTGTCCTGACATATCTGCAAGTTGAGCTATCGAGGTTTTACAAAAGTACTACTACTAGTAATATATATATATATATATATATATATATATATATATATATATATATATATATATATATATATATATATATATATATATATAAATGGGAGAGGTTATAGTTGTTCAACGAGAGAAAAGTGTATATATTAAAAGAAAGAGAAACGCCAACGTTTTGCGTTGTTATGTGGAGTATTGGAAAAATATGTATATACACATAAGGCGAGTGAGCTATCCACTAAAATAAAGTTTAAAGTGATATATATATATATATATATATATATATCACTTTAAACATTATCTTTAGTCGATACCCCCATACATACATATATAAATATATATATATATATATATATGTATATAAAATCCCACTTTGAAAAAATATTTGGGTATTCACTAAAATAACGTTTATAATATATATATATATATATATATATATATATATATATATATATATATATATATATATATATATATAAAATCTTATGATATCCATTTTCTCATGCACTTACTGCTCATGACTGGTAACCTTTAAAAAATACATAAAAGTATTTATTTAGTTATCTTATTGCATAAATTTTTAAAATCTTTTTTTTTTCTCTTGACTGCCACCTGACTGCCAAGTCCCGATTCTGAAAACGAAGAAAGAAACATTTGAAATGCACAATCGAGTCCATCACACGTAAAACTCGGAAGTTCAACTTATTTCGCTGTAGTCTCGAACAAGAGCGGGCCATTTCGATTTATATATTCAGGTTGCGTTGTAAACTTGTAGACTGACTGTCGCAGGATCTCCCCAAAATAATTCAATGAACAGAAGGAATATGGCCACGAATATGAAATTAGTCTTAGTGCTGAATAAGGTGGGGAGGGAGAAGAGACCGTTTTAGAAAAGCATGTGACGTGGGTTTTAAAATCGAGCCTAAAAGTTCCGTCGGCCACCGAGATGCTAGCTGACCCGCCTCCCCCGTCCTTCCGACCTTCTAACTAACATCGGTTCTGCCCCTCCTTTTAGTGTCGCTCATTTTATAGGAGGATGTCTGCTTAAAAGGGAAGAAAAGAGGAAAATTGGTCGGGTTGTAGATTAGAGCAGGGAAAGGTTCTTAAAAAAAATAGAAAAGAAAGAAGAAAATAAAAGAAAAGATTTAAATGTTCAGGATCGGATTTGACTCACGTCATTTGAAATTCAAGCTGGCAACGAACATATTGCCGAACAATTATCATCTTGACTCTTCTCAGGCGGGTAATTTGCGACAAGAGCGAGAATTCAATGATTTACTTTGTTTTATTTTTTTACGTTTCATTCTTTTTATTTGTTTTGTTTTTGTTTCTTTCTTTTCTTTCTTTTTTGGCTTCTATTGGGACGAAAAAAAAGATTTTTAAAAGTTGCATAATATCTTATGATTATTATCAAGGATTTGTACATTTTAATCTTAACCAATTTTTACCAAATTTATCATTTTAGATTTTTTTTTTCTCTATTCTAATATGTTGCTTTATCTCAGTGTAATAAAAGTTTGTTTCCTCTTCTGCTGATTCCCCCCTCTCTCTCACTTTCTTATATATATATATATATATATATATATATATATATATATATATATATATATATATATATATATATAGTGCTGTTCGATAAAAAGTGACTCACCTGATTTTTTTACTGAATGTTCTCTTCTCCGATGAAACGAAAATTGAGCTAAATTCAAAGGATAAGCGATCTAAAAATCCGAAGAAGCTTTGAAAGCTCTTTGAATTTAACAGTAAGTACTGTCAATCATCCGCTTAGTATAATGTTCTGGGGATGCTTTTCTTTTCATGGAACTGGTTTCTTAAAACCTATTGAAAAAAGACCCTCAAGAGCGAGCAGTACAAGAGAATTTTAGGAGTCTTGTCTGCTCCTTCTGCTGAAAGGGTGCAAATCGACCCCCCAAGCTCATTTTATGCAGGATAATGCTCCCCTGTCACAAATCAAAATTGATGACGAAATACTTTGAGAAGCAGGTGAGCGTTATGACATAGCCTCCCCAATCTCCTGACCTCAACCACATAGAATAAAATGTAGAGCATTATCAAGTACAGGCTCTCGAGAAAGCAGTTGAGCAACATGCTCCATAAGTTTTCTACAATCGTCAGTCGGTCTGATGATTGAGTCTAGCAATAAACAGCCTGTCGCCTCTGAGTGTTGACTTCGATGTTCACTTTTGTATTTACATACGTTCTATCGGTGATATTGAGCACTTTATCCCATAAATATAGCACACCTTAAAACTATATTTCTTCACACACACACACACATACACACACATACACACACACACACACACACACACACACACACATATATATATATATATATATATATATATATATGACAATGTGTAAAAACTTTTCTTGTGACATCTTTCGTTATTTAGGACTTCATCATCTCTTTCTGATGTCAAATATAAGTCTCCTTTTGTTTCCATATTCTCTAAAACTGTTGGTGCTCACATGTTCATTGCATGGTATTCTCAGGATGCTTTTTGTTGTTTCATGACTTTCCATATCTGAAAATTGTCCAGAATTCACTGCCATATAGAAGGACTGATATTACGTAAACAGTTCAGTCCTCTTTTCTTTGTTTCTAACGAAATTTTCCTGTTTCTTCATATTTTGTTTAGCCTTTAATTGGTATAATTCGCTACCCCAAAGACTCTTCGAATTTCAGTGATGTACACCGTCGGTTAAAACGCTTCCCTGCTATTTAAATTTTGTACCTTTTTGATTTTGTCATCTCCAATTTGTAAATTACATGTTACGCTGTCCCTTTTGCTAACAATCATGTATTCTGTCTGATTGCAATTGATGCTTAGTCCTTTCTCTCTCTTTTCTACACTTCCTTCCATAGGCTTTCTTGTAGTTTCTTTTCTGTATTTGCTAACAACACTGTACAATCTGCATATCTTATGTTGTTAAGATTGTGGCCACCAATAATGAATCCTGGTAGGTTTTTTTAATTCTCTAAATTGCCTCACTGCATGGGTTGAATATCTTCAGTGAAAAAACACATCCTTGTCTTGCGCCCCTTTCTATTTTTGTATGTTTTCGGAATTCATTTTCTGACACTATGCAGGCGCTTTGCTGCCAGTATAAGTTCAAGATTATTCTAATATCATTCAAGATTATTCTAATATCATTCCCAACTATGTCAAGGTTTTCTAGCAGTTCAACACTACATACATCCTAAAACTGATACTAAAAGAAATATAAAATAATATCTTAGAAATATTTAAACCTTATTTCTTTTGAGCCACATTTCTGTTACTTCATCTCCAAGGAGATTGCCCAGCATTCACTGCCATATTAGAAAACTGATATTAAATAACAATTTAGTACTCTTTTCTTTGTTTCTAATGACATTTTCCTGTTTCATAATACTTTACTTAGCTTTTGGATGGCATCTTTTGAGCATCCCAGTCTGCCTTCAGATTTCAGTGTTGCACTTTCCAGCCTCTGATAAAACACTTCCCAGATATATTTAAATCGCTGTACTTATTTGATTTTCATATCTCAATTTGTAATTTGCATTTTGGGCTCTTCCTTTTTTGCTGACAACCATGCATACTAT